GAGTCTTTGTTTCAAAAGTATTTTAAGTGGTGAGAAGAAAAACAACCTGCCAGTCGGGCTGCAGGCAGATCAGGCTGAAGGTACAAGACAGGAGGGAAATTTTTCATGACAGAGGTGTGCTCCTGGCCTGAGGGGAGGGAAAAGGCTATTATGGTTGGAGTGAATGAAATCAGTGCTGGCAGGAGCATTAAACAGAGGAAAAAGAGAGTGGGTAGTGAGCCAGCAAGGTGGGATTTTAACCATCTGCCTGGTCTTGTAACTGGTTGTCATGAGAGACCAGCAAATCGACAAGGAAAAGGGAAAGTTTTGCAGTGAAGTCCTTGCCTGGGAACCCTGGTGTGCAGCATCTGGGGCAGTTGGGCATTGTTTCCTTGATTTCATTGACAAACCCAAGTCTCAGCAGGCTTGGGGGGCTGGCTGGAGCTGTGGTGGAGACAGGGTCTGGGCAGCAGAAAAGTCTCCTGCATGGCAGGTGGGAAGAACTGATTGGAGGCAGAGGTTCCCAGCATGGGGAAGGCTTGGGATAATGTGTGGGGTCAGGGGGAGAGAAATAGTATGGCACAAAACACTCTGGACTGGTTTCAGTGGAAAAAATACCAAAACTTGCCCACAAAGGTGAAGAATAGGTTACAAGTTTCTTTTTTTAGGATTTTTTCCCTGATGTTCCCCAGTTTTGGTAAATGCTTTACCTATAATTTTTCTGAAGAAATGATTTTGTCTGGACCTTACTGCACACTTGCCTACAAATACATAAGTGACTCAAAGAGGTAGTTCTCAGGAAGAATTTATTTGCTTTGGTTATCAGTTTCCTGCATCTTGAAGAAATGGAACAGCTCAGGAAGGGTGTTTAACTGTGGCTTCTTTGACCCCAGGCAGTCATTGCCTGGTGTCCTGGGCTGCTTTTTGCGTGGCTGCTGATCCTGTAACTGAGCAGCGTGGTGGCCCCACTCCTGCATGTGTGCTAATTGGGGTTACAAGCCACAGAGTCAACCCTCTAGGTCTTTCATTGCCGTCCTCCATCAGATGTTCCTCCTCTGAGAGGTGGCATCCCATGAGGGAGATGTCCCAGAAGGAAAGGATTTCCCATACACACACCCCAGCTGAAGTAATCTCGTGCAAATATGTTGAGCTCTTACATAGCTCTTCTTGGGGGTGCCGAGCAATAGTGTGGTCCCTTCCAACCCGACTCATTCTGTGATTCTGGAGGTGATTTGATTCACCTTCTGGTGGCAAAGCCTTCCCATTGCACAGAGTAACTGTGGTGGGAGGATTTCTCAAGGTTCTTCTGAGGGTCTCCATCTGGGAGGTTGGAGCATGGATGGATTCAGATAGTGATGCACGGAGAGTGGGAATGGGCTTGAGGAAGGTACTTGTACAGCTTTCAGCCAAGGAAGTCCCTGAATATTTGGTTGTTAGTAAATAATTGGGTAATTCAGGGCCATGTTAAGAGCACCATCAGCAGGTGTTGTGTCATTGAAGCATCCTCCTGAGGCCACTGCTGGCTCTGAGGCTGGAGGATGCTTTGGACTGCTCACTGTGGAAGTTCTTGGGAGAGGAACCAGAGAACTCCTTGCTCTCAAGGCTCTCACCCCCTCTTTTTCCTTGCACATTCCAGGGGAGACTGAGTAACAGATGACTGCTTCATGGCTAAGGGGAGGGTTCTGGATACAGGGATGCTCCAAATGCAACCATGCCTGGTGCAGGCATCTAGGCTAGTGTTTCACTCAGGATAGGAGAAACCCACTGGTCTCCCAGCACAGCTGGATTAAAGATCACGAGCCTCCTACCCCGTTATCCCCATACTTCATGTGGTTTAGCAAGAGATTATTTTGTTTTGGGGCAAGAAAATGCATATTTTTCTAACCCATGTGATTGCAAAGAGTAGCTTGGAAATGTGGCCTGGGTACCACTGGTGCAATACCTGGGTGCATGAGGGGCTTAAAACAGCAGCTCACTGAGGGTGCACAGCCCCGTTCCTCTGCAGTGAAGCAACCTCACCTGTGCTATAAAGTGATTTGTGTGTGCAACATTTCTAGAGGAGGCTGCAGTTCTAGTGCAAAACAGTTCAGCAGCTGGTGGTAAAAGAGCAGTTGAAATTGCTCTGCGTACTCAGTTAGGATGAACTGATGCAGAAGGCAGCAGTTGCTGGCAAAACTTACACTTGCTTAGTAAATGTGATTTATTTCCTTCTCATCACTTCACTTTAAAGAGAGATCCAAATTGTGTTTGTTTGGTAGCCACCTTTATTATTGTCTTCCAATTTTTAATAATAGATCTGGGCCAAAGAGCACCCTGAGTGAGAAAACATATGTGGGAATCAGAGTCTGTGTGTTTTGGCCTTCCTTATTCCATGGTAAAATGCAGTTTGTTTCCTGTCTGTGTGCTCCTGACCACCTCCATCCCGCTGTTTTATCCGTCTGTCAAAGCTACTTTGACATCTGGGTCTTAACCCACTGAAGTTGAGAGTAAGTTGAATGGTCCTGTCAGCTTTAAAGTAACTACTCACCAGCTGGAGTCTCAGCCAACCCCCAGCCCGAGATGGGGCCAGGGCTTCTTCTCCCACTGTGTGTAAAATGACATGAGATCAGGGCCTTGGACTATAAACACTTAAAGCCCTTGGGTTTTCAGAGCCCATTGTCCAGATGAAATGTCTCTTCCTTTGCTAGATCTGATCTCAGGTGCAGGCTGCTCCAGATCCAGTCATGCTGTTGGGTTTTCTTTTCCAACTCTTTTTCTCTTGTTTAGACTTAAAAAAAAAAAAGAAAAAAAAAGTGAGTAATAAGTAAGGGCTATTTGATATGACGGAGAAAAGCTGTTCCTCTTTTGCACTCCATAACCCTTTTCCCTCCCAAAACTATTCTTACCAGATCAGAATACGTTACAATCCTCGCATCAACATGAAAATCTCACCAGCTAATGTTTGCAAAGCTGAAGGTTTCTTTCTCCCCCAGGGGGTTAATTTTCTTTGTGCATTCTGGAGTGATCTTTAGTGACTCCCTTCTTGGGCATCTGTCCTGCCGTCCTCTCCAGTGAGTGGAAAAGTCAGATCCTCTGACTGAAATGAATTAGCTGCATTCCGATACTTGCTTGATTTAAATGCACACTCCAGGAGAAATGCAAATCTTCTGTTCTTTTTCCCTTGTGTCTCCCAAGGTGAACAAATAGTCCCAGCCATGTCTTTGACTTGCTTTCCTCCCTGAAGGTCTGTGTCTTCTGTGGAGAAAGGTACCTTTCCCTAAGGCTGTGTTTCACCCTTTTTCACGTCCCCTCTGTCCTCCAGCCAGCACCTACACTCTCGTTGTTACCCTAATTTGGCAGAATGAAAGCTGAGGCAGTTTACTCCAACAGCACTGCTCTGTGTCAGAACAGGACTGGACTTGCCGTGGCTCTGTTAGACCACGGTTCCCTGACTGAGCCCTGGAGAGTGGAAGAAGAGCCACAAATATCTGCAGGAAAAATAAAGCAAGGACAAAACCACATGCAGACACAAGAAGGGGAATGAATGATGGTGGGAGATAATCTGGATGGTGAACTTAAAACCACTAGGAAATAGGAAAGAGCTGAAGATTCTTTTCCAAAAGACTGGGTGACTTTCTAGTTTAAAGAGGAATGAAGAAGGATAACATGACCCGATCAAGATCATCTGCTTGCTTACCTATGGAAAAAGGCTTTCATCATGCTTTGCTACTGGAAATACTTTCGACCAAGTTACAAAGTCAAAAGTTTCAATTTTTACTCTGCGCACATCTGAATGCCTACAATGGTGTAGACATTAGACATTTCCATCTGCCTTCTCACAACATGGACATGTAGCTACATATAAAGCTGTGATCTGGCTATAGGAATTCCCCCCTGCTTGTCCAGCCCACCCTCATGCAGCAGCTCCCTTACCTGCTCTGGGCTGGGGTCTCCTTGGGCATCTGGCTGAGAGGTGATGGTCAGCAGCAATGGGTGAGGACGGTGTGAAAGCTCCCGGCTTTTTTGGTGCCGCTAAAGCAGCCAGCAGCCCCCAGCTCTGGGATCGGCACATGGATGAGGGGCCGCGGTTCTGCACAGCCAGCTCGCTCTGGAGCGCAGGCTGAGAACTGAAGAGGTTTTCTCCAAAAAACAGTAGGGCATTCTGAGACCGGTGTCTTCCTTCAGCTTCAGACTGTCTGCAGTGATAAAGTGACTCCCACTTCCCCTGTCCAGCCTCAAAGTGCCATCCCTCTCCTGCATCCCTTGCCCACACTGCGGGAGGTACCTGCGGGCGGCCCTTGAGCTCTGGGGACCATTTCTCTTTCTCCCGGGAAAAAGAAAAAAACCTTTTTCCAGGATTTCCTTACCCAAGAGGTCTCACCAGGCGCCAAAGTAACTAAATCGAGGGGCTTGGTTTCGTGGAGAATCCCTGGCTGTTGCCGGCACTGACTCGGGGCCAACTCTGAGCGCTTTCCATAGGGAAAAAAGACAACGAAATCCAAGCGCGGGAGGGGTCCCGGCGGGAGGTTACCTGCTCTACTGCTGGGGGCTGGCGGCGGCACCAAGCTCGCCCCGGGCTGGCCGTCGGGACTGGTTTTGTTTGGTTTTTCTCCTGGGAGGAAACACCTCTTCCGAGGAAAGCGAAGTGCTGCGGAGCGGGGCCGGGAGCGGGGCCGGCCCAGCGCTGGCCCCGGGACCCCCCTGGGGGAGGGACCGCTCGGGGGCACGGCTGCGGAACGAACCCCAGGAGAGGCTGGGGGATTTAGTCGTGGGAGTCGGGACCCCTCCCCGGGGACCTCCTCCTCCCGTCGGGGGAGAGGGGCCGGGCGGGCCGGCACCGCACGCCCCTCCGGGGGGGCGAACGCCCTATATATTGCCAAGCGGCTCGGGACTGACCTCCCCATCGCAGGGAGCTGCCGAGGCGCCAGCCCCTTTCCCCTTCCCCTCCCTCTCCCCCTTCCCCTCCCCTCGAGGGGGGGCTCTTTCTCCCGCCGCTCCCCCCCATTCTCCGAGGAGGAGGAGGAGGAAGGTGAGGGCCGTATATGAACGCGGCCGGCTTCCCCTGCCTGCGAGGCATGTGCACGCTGCCGGCGCCCAGCCCCGCCGCCGCGGCCAGCCCCGGCTCCCCCGGGCCGCCCCGGGGGTCTCCGCAGGCGCCGCCGGTGAAGCCGGAGCCGCGGGGCGGAGGGGGCAGCCCTGCCCCGCCGCCGCCGCCCCCCGAGGAGCCGCCGCCCCCCGCCGGGGGCCGCCGGAGGAAGCGGCCGGTGCAGCGGGGCAAACCCCCGTACTCCTACATCGCCCTCATCGCCATGGCCATCGCCAACGCCGCCGAGAGGAAGCTCACCTTGGGGGGCATCTACAAGTTCATCACCGAGCGCTTCCCCTTCTACCGGGAGAACCCAAAGAAGTGGCAGAACAGCATCCGCCACAACCTCACCCTCAACGACTGCTTCGTCAAGATCCCCCGGGAGCCCGGACATCCCGGCAAGGGCAACTACTGGACACTGGACCCGGCTGCAGAGGACATGTTCGACAACGGGAGCTTCCTGCGCCGGAGGAAGCGCTTCAAGCGCACCGACATCACCACCTACCCCGGCTACATGCAGAACTCCAGCGCCTTCACGCCCCCGCCCGCTGGCCGCCCCGCAGCACCGGCAGCACCCTACCCCAATGCCCTCTGCTCGCCTGGCTACGGCCCCCAGCTCTCCAGCACTGTCTTCCACCCCTATGCAGCCGGGGCAGCACCGCCGGCACAGCATCCCAGGATGTTCAGCATCGACAGTCTCATCAGCGGGCAGCAGGCCCTGCAGCCCTCACCGCCCTCCGAGCTGGGCCACCCATCCCTGGGTTTGCCCGGAGCTGAGTTGGCTCCCGCCTGCTCCGCCAGCAGCTCCGAGCCTTCCTGTTTCCAGGCACAGCCCGTCAGCCCCGGCTTGTTGGGCCGGGCTGGCCCCAACACCCTGGCTTACCCCTATGCCGCCTCGCCCCCTCACCTGCCCGTGGCGCAGGGCAGCTACTCGCCCAGCAGCCCGCAGCTCTACGGGGCTCCCAACAGACTGGCCCTGCCGGCCATGCGGCCTCCGGCCTGTGCCGAGCACGGCGAGCAGCTCCTGGGGCTCTCGGCGTCGCCCCTCGGCCAGTTCGGCTCCAGCAACACCTACATGAGGCAGCCCAACTTCCCTGCTGGCCTGGAGCGGTACATGTGATGCGCTTGAGGGGGCTTGGCTGGACATCCCCAGGCTCCCAGGAGCATCCCTGGACAAGCGGACTTCTCCCTGCTGTGGGGGCCGGCTGGGGGAGAGTCAGGGCTCCCTGGCCCCTGGCTGTGTGCAGACACAGGTGTGGGAGAACTCAACTCCTCTCCTTCTCAGCTTGTTTTGAAGTGGAGGCAAGGTGATCTATTCTTCTGCCCCACCTCTGACTGCGTCTGCCAGGCAGGGCTCCCCACACGTGCCCTTCTACACAGCCTGGCCCCGGGGATGCCATCTGCAGCAGTGCACCCCAGGGTGAGGAGGAGCACAGCCAGGAGGTGGGTGCACAGTGTAAGGTGCAGGAACTCTCACAAATGGGCTTTCTCCTCTCTTCCCCGGGTGCCTCCTGTGTAACTGGAATGGAAGTTATCCAAAAATCCCACTAAACAAGTTCACTGGATTTTAAATGAATATTTAAGATGTTTATCATTTTCTTTCCCTGTAGGAAAAGAAATCCCAACTTGACTACTTCTTTTTACTATTTTTTAAAATTTCCTCTATTGTTAGAAAGGACTTTTTTAAAATAAAGCTTTTTCTTCCAACATGACCAGTGCTGCTGTTCCTCTGGCTCTGGATGGATTTTGGCAAGAGGAAATTATAGTCTTGTAACTGGTGGGAAACGGACTCGTGCTGCTGTTGTGACACTGCCACGTCTTACATTTTTAGTGACACTTTCCAAAGCTCTATATTTTATTATGATTTTCTTAAAACCGAATGGTAACTCCTGTAAGGTTTGCCTCTGCAGCTCTTACTGGACTTGATGATTTCCATTTGTGTACATGGAATGTGTCTTCCCTCCGAGGAACCCCTTGCAGATGAAATTCTGATTTAGCACACTGAGTTAGGAGATCGTTTTTTTTTCTTCCTAGCAACAAAATCAATTAAAATTCTAACCTGTTCACTGGCCAGGCTGCTGCTATTTATTTACAGGACTGGCAGCCAGACTGTCTCACCAGGTTTGAAGGCAGAATTCCCCATCCCCAGATTTAGATTTTTTTTTAATTTAAACATTCTTTGGTACCAAGCTAGGATTTCTCTCCCGTTTTTCAAGCGTGCCCTCTGAAGCAGAGCAGTTTCTATGGTCCTTATTCCACCTTTCTCTCTAAGAAGGAGCTGGATGTCGGTTGAGTTTTGGTGTAAAACAGCATCTTATTCCCCGGTGTCTGGGTACGACTGAAAGCTGGTGTACATGCGGGTACCCAAGGAGTCAGTTTTTGTCCACAGCTTGGGAGCTTGTGGCTTTTCATTCTTTCATCCTGTGTGCTTCATAGAAAAGGAGAGGGGGATTAGTATGAGAGGGAAGGGAAGAAAATTATTTTTTCTTCTTGACTTCCTTAAAATTTGGACTCCATCTGTCTCTAAAAACTGGCCTAGATCTGTTCTGCCTTCAGCTGAGTGCTGGGTGCTGAGTCTTCTCTCTGGCCCTTCCAGCTTGACCCTTGCAGTTTTCACTCTAGTCCCAGCAGCAGCTTCTGTGCCTTTAGTGATAACCCTGCTCAGAAAGGGTGCTATGAAAAAACTTATTCCTTGGAATACTTTGGCTCTCTGCAGAAGATCTCTACAGGCTGACATCCTCCATCTAATGGAAATTTGCAACATGCCATTCCTGCCTGTGACATTGTGTCTGTAGAGGTGACTTAGAGGGATGCTGAAATATTCACTTGCAAGGACAGTCATCAGAAAGAACGTTTGTCATAGCTCACATTCATTCCCAGGGCCTGATCCTGCAATGTTTTGCTAACAAAAGAACTTTTGAACTCTTGCCTAAGTATCCAGGGTGTCAGAGCCAGACATGTGCCTGAAGCACTGGGTCTGCTGAGTGATGGGGCTGTGACTCTGCTGGCTTTGCACCATGAGCAGGAGGGTTGCTGAAGTAGGGAAGAACCAGGTACTGGCATGAAAGAAAAACAGTGTTGGGTGGAGAGGGTGGGCAGGAGATACCATGGTTCTGTCTGGGTGGGATGCACTGGGAAGAATTAGCCAAGCTGTGACATCTCAAACTGGGCTGTGCCGGCTCCTCCCCAGCCGCCCTGAAGACCTGCAGGAGCAGGGAGCTGGTGTCAGGGAGCTTTCCAGGTTCCTGGCGTCTCTGGGTGTTAAGTACTGGTGAAGCCATGGGGGCTCAGGGTCCCTGAAGGGCTGGGCTGTGCCTTACTCCTGTCCCCGAGCTGCCTCTGCCTTCCTGCCACAGAGCTCTCCAGGCAGTAGCACCCGGCTCAGGATCTAAGGATGTGTCTGCAAGAGACCCATCCCACCCCTGTGCTTGTGCAAGAGGGGTCTCTTCAGCCAGGGTGGCTCTGGTGTGAAGCAAGAGTCACCACAGTGGACTGAATCCCTGAAAACCTGGCTCAGAGAGAGCAGATGACCCAATTGCAGTGTGTTGGGACAAACCCTGATGTGCAATGTTGGGTTGTACATCTTCCCAGGTCCGGGTATATCCCTGTCTGCCAGACAGCCCCAGCCCAGAGGCCCCTGCAAGCATCAATAAACCACCCTCACCATGGGCCTTACACTGCCAAACAGCTGAAAACCAGAAGAAACAACCCCTTTTCTTCTTTTTCCTGCAGATATTAATCCTCACACACACAAAACGCTGGCAACTCATATTGTGATTGTCATTAAACTAATGCCTTAAGAGTGTCTTCTTGGTTAAGTTAATGTATCCCAACCAGGCTTTTAAGCTTTCATTCAAAGCTTTGTTTACAGTTAGGGTGAATCTAGCAAATGAGTAGGATTAAGGTGTCATGTAAAGCATGAGCCTTGCTGGGACAGAGTAGTTTTAAGCTTTGTAAAGTTTATACCTGAGCCCTTCATCTGTTTTAGTATCTTTTCGATGTCCCTGTGTAATGAATAAGAGGGATTTGAATGAAGCAGGAGAAATTATCACCCAGATTTCAGTTGTGAAACCAAGTCTCCTTTGAAATCCTCCCCTCTTTATTTAGGGACTTTAGGGAATATTAAGTAATGACAGTTGTAACTATCTCGAGCTCACACAAAAGACAGATGCAAAACTTTTTATGCTCTCTAAGATTATGGAATGAATGTCATCCTTCAGGGTGATGGCAAGAAGTACTCTGGACTTCCCGTGGTGGGGAGAGCCCTGTCTTGAGCCTGTGAGCTGCGCACATGGGAGGTGGAGCTGATCCCAAACACCAAAGAGATTTAGGTGGTTACCTGGGCTATCTTGTCTGACCTCTCAGGGAGTAACTCTTTGCAAATCAGGCTGATTTCAGATAACTCGGGCTGCACATTCAGAAGCACGTAGCCAAAATGAGCTGCCACTTTGAAAGGATGCTTGTTTTGCTCTGGGAAACACTGGCTGCCCGGGGAGAACCAACGGAGCTGCTGCATCTGTCTGTGTACGGCAGCATTCTGCATGTCTCGTGCTCGTACCACCTTCCTGCTGCTTGCAACAGATTCAAACAAGCAGTAAAAAATGCCCTTTCCAGATTATATTCCCATGCTATAAATAGTGTTTTCCGTCCTGTTACAAACAAACACAGCATTAGCTGAAATTTTAGTTGAAACACATTTCCTGAAAAACTTATTAGTCCCTCTGGTAGAGTTGGATTTTGTCTGGATGCTGCCAGCTGTCCACTGGCAGTCCCAGTGCTGGAAATGTAACACCATAACTAGCTTTTATTCTATGCAATACTTTGCCCTTTGCAAATACATGGCATGAAGACAGTCAGTGGTGTTTCTTTGAGGTCAAGATTGAGTCAGTAAGTAAGATGATGGTGGGGATATGGGCAGTGAGTGCAGTGGGACAAGCTGAGATTGGCTTTGCGAGGTAATAATGAGTTTTTAACAAATTATCATCTGAGAGTCAGCACTGCCCAAGCTCTGAGCTACGTCTCGGGGTATCGATGGTCGGTCACCACCTCTGCTACATTATATTTTGGTCCTTTATATTTGGGTCGTTCATATTCGGGCAGAGGCAGGTGATGCAGCTGCTGTGTTTGTACAGAGCAAGAGCAACGCTGCGCTGCCCTCCGCCGCTTTGCCCCACGGGTGTAACGCCCCGGCATGGGGGGGTGGCAGGGACGAGGTGGCCCGGAGTGACAACCAGCGTGCTCAGGCCAACACTGACCTCCAGTGGAAAGCCCTGGGAAGCCGCTCCCGGCGGGGGTGCTCAGCATGTACCGGCAGCATCCCGACCTTTGGGGCGGTCCTGTTCATGGCTGGGGGGGGGAACAGGACATCGGGGAAGCTTGGGGTACGGTCAGGATGAGACGGTGAGGCTTGTTCGGGGAGGGTCGTTATTAAACACAGTGGGTTGGATACAACCTCCAGGCTGGGAAATACCTAAGACACTAGTTGCTGACTCAGGGAAGATTTCAGAGAGGAAGGTTTTCTCTGGCTATACCTTCTTTTACCCTTTTCCTAAGCCATCACTGGGGATAGGGTACAGCGTTGGGTTGTGCTGGCTGCCCCCTGCAGCTCTTCTCCCTAGAGTGAAAATAGGGAAATAAGTGGAAGCACAGTGAGAATCTGTGCCCTTCATGGAAGGTGAGGGGTTGGTGATGACAGATCACTTTGCTGCAGCAGCCAGCCTCGTTGGCAGCCTGGCTTTGTGTTTGCAATGTGCTGCACGGTGTGTGAATGGCAGAGCTGGGGACTGGCCTGACTCTAACAGCACCTGAGCTGCAAGGCTGCAGGCAGGCAGCAAAGCAGCAGAGCCTGAGCACTGACATGTAACACCTACAAGCTCATGGGAGAGCATCTGGGGTCCAGTCATTTCACAGTCTTTGTACTTTGCTGAAGTGGTTACACTGCAGCAGTTGGTTTTGTGCATGTATTGAATCAGCTGTGTCATCCCAACACCAACAAGAAGCCTTGGCTCGTGGCAGCTCAGTGTGCTGCATGGAGAAAGGGTGCATCTGGGCCAGTTACATATGTGCCTGGGAAAAGTTCATTTTCCATTTGCATCAGCAGTGCTGAGTCAAAGGCAACAGTGTATGACCTCTGCAGAGAATGGGTCCAGTGGTTTCAGACATTTTGGGTGCTTTCTATCTGCACCAGAGACATCTCATCTTGCTTTTAAAAATCCCCTGCTAACCAGGTGTTGGGAATCAAATC